AGGAGGGGGGGAAGGGGAGGGGGGGAGGAGGAGGAGGAGGAGGAGGAGGAGGAGGAGGAGGAGGAGGAGGAGGAGGAGGAGGAGGAGGAGGAGGCGGAGGAGGAGGAGGAGGAGGGAGGAGAAGGGAGGAGGGGGAGGAGAGGAGGAGGAGGAGGAGGAGGAGGAGGAGGAGGAGGAGGAGGAGGGAGAGGAGGAGGAGGAGGAGGAGGACGGCGGCAGGGCAGGCAGGATGGCGCCTGGCAGGCAGGCAGGCAGGCAGGCAGGCAGGCAGGCAGGCAGGCAGGCATGGAGGAGGAGGAGGAGGAGGAGGAGGAGGAGGAGGAGGAGGAGGAGGAGGAGGAGGAGGACGAGGGAGCACCCGAAGGGCCCCCGAAGGGGGCCCCGACGGTGCACGAGAGGTGCACCTTTGCCTCCCCCTCCCTTCTACAGCCAAGGCTTAACTCGGGCGTGTCCCTCTACTGCAGGAGGAAATTCAAGAATAGTCAAATCTGGGGGCGATGTTCGATTATGTTTCGCCAATGTTTGCGTATGTTTTTAATATCTTCATTTGTCGTCCAAAATCCGCCTGTAGGGGGACATGCCCGACCTAAATCAAGGCGCTGAAACTGGGCTCAGGAGGGTCTCTGGTTTTCGGACCGTTCCTTAGATATCCGCGTCGGGGAACCCATTGGTGGCCGATGCTCGCCGTGGTCAGGAAGTCCATCATCGCTCCTTATTGCGAAGGCCTTGCAGTTGTTCCGTCCCCTCTCCGAAGGCAGTCCCTGCTACGTCGCTGGCTCAGCCTGCGATGGAAGCAGGCGGTGCGCACAGTCGGAAACAGGCGTCGCTCGTGACAGCGCCGTTTTGCAGCCCTTAAGGCGGAGCGTCTAGTGTGAAGAGGGTGTCCATCATTGGCACTGCTCGCACGATGGGGAGGGCAGATGAGCCGAAAACGGACAGCACCAGGAGTGCCCTCAAAGTGGGCATGCTTTGAATTCCGTAAAGCGCGCGCCCGGCATCTTTCTCTCTCGGCCGGCCAGCTTACACAGACATACCTACCTTAGCAGATCCGCTTAACGGACCCTAGCCATGGCCAGGGGTACAATGCCAGTCCGCCGGGATATCACGGATTCCCTTGGGCAAGATGTACAAGCAGATCATAAACAAGAGCATCATGACATGATGATATTACAGAAGCTCTTGACTAAACTAAAGATCACGAGCAAAACAGTGATGATGAGGATGAGGATGGGGATGGGGATGGGGATGAGAATGAAGATGATGATGACAAACAGGAGGGTAAGGCGGAGGAGGAGGACTAGGACGAGGATGAGGCTGGTGATGGGGGTGGTGATTGTGGTATTGGTGGTGTTGACGATGATGATGATGATGATGATGATGATGATGATGATGATGATGATGATGATGATGGTGATGGTGATGGTGATGGTGATGGTGATGATGGTGATGGTGGTGGCGGTGATGATGACGATGGCGATGACTATGGTGATGACGTTGATGACGATCATGATGATGATGGTAACGCGGGCGATGCTGATGATGACGATAGTGGTCGTGGTAGGCGTGGCGATGATGAGGATGGTGGTGTTGGTTTTGGTGGTGGTTGTGATGATGATGATGATGATGATGATGGTGATGGTGATGGTGGTGAACGTAGCGACGGCGATGGCAATGATGATGGCGATGATGATGGCGATGAAGAAGATGAGGATGACGATGATGATCGGAATGATGACGATGACGATGATAATGATGGCGATGGTGATGCTGTTTTTTTTGTGATGTTGATGCGGATGGTGGTGATGATGGCGATGATGATGATGATGATGATGATGATGATGATGATGATGATGATGATGATCGTGGCTGGGGTGACGAATGTGGTCGTTCTGGTATTCATGATGATGGTGGTGAAAGTGATGGTGATGGCCATGGTGATGGTGACGGTGTGACTGCGATGGTGTTTGTATGGTGATGGTGGTGGTGATGACTGTGGTGGTGATGGCGATGATGGTGATAGTGATGGTGATGATGAGGGTCATTATGATGATAATGGTGATGGTGATGGTGGTGGTGTCGATGATGATCATGGTGACGGTGGTGATGGCAATGGTGATGATGATGGTGATGGTCATGATAGAGACGGTGATGGTGACTGGGATTGTGGTGGATACGATGGTGATGATTGTGATGATGGTGGCGATGATGACAGTGAAGATGGCGATGATGGTGATGGTGATGATAGTGAGGAGGAGGAGGATGACAAAGGATATATATATATGATGGAAGAATGATGATATGGATGTGGGTAGGAGGAGAGGAGGAGGGACCCGGATGGGGATGGGGATGGGAAGGAGGATGACGATTCGGACGAGGACGCGGTTGGTGATGGGGTGGTGATCGTGGTATTCGTGAAGGTGATGATGATGATGGTGATGGAGTTGGTGATGGTGGTGGTGATGATGATGATATGAATTCCGACGATGATGACGATGGTGGTCGTGGTGGGCGTGGCGATGATGAGGATGATGGTTGTGGTTGTGATGCTGATGGTGGTGGTGATGATATTGATGGTGATGATGATGGTGATGGTGATGATGATTGCGATGGAAAAGATGAGAGTGACGCTGGTGATGATTTTTGATGCCGATGGCGATGGTAAGGATGGTGATGGTGATGATGGTGCGGATGATTGCGATGATGATGCGGAAACGGGTCATGATGATGACGATGGCGATGATGATGGTGATCGTGATTGGAGTGAAGAATGTGGTCGTAATGGTGGTCAGGATGATGATGGTGGTGAAAGTAATGGTGATGGTGATGGCCATGATGATGGTGATGATGGTTGTGATTGGGATGATGATTGTATGGTGATGGTGATGACGGTGATGATGATGGTGCTGGTGATAGTGATGGTGATGCTGAGGGCCACTGTGGTGATCATGGTGATGGTGATGGTGGTGATGATGATGGAGGTGGTGTTGATGATGGTTATGGTTGTGGTGATGGCAATTGTGATGATTATGATTATGTTTGAGCTGGTGATGGTGATGGTGGCTGTGGGTGTGGTGGTGATGACGATGATGATGATTGTGGTGATGGTGGCGATGAAGATGGTGGTGATGGTGATGGTGATGATGGTGATGATGGTGAGGAAGAGGAGGACTAAGGATAGATGATAGAAGATGATGGTGAAGAGGCGGGGAGGAGGAGAGGAGGAAGATATGGGCAAAAAGGGTCAGGAGGAGGAGGACGACGACAACGACGGAGAGGGAGGAGAGGCAAGGGGAGTGGATGAAGGGAAGAGGGAGTGGAGGGGAGCGCGGCGCCCAAGACTGCCACCCTCCTCTTTCACTTGTTTCCTCGGTGTCCTGCGCTGCGCGACAATACACCTTAGGCGATGTTTAAGAAAACTTAAATTTTCGGCCAGAGTCTCGATGATTCTTAACGTTTCAATGTAAATCTTTAGATTTTGATGGAAATTTTGGGTTCTTATTCAAGTTCTGAGACCATGAATTTCTTAACCCATGATTTCTTAAGCATTTCGCAGGGTGTACCTCGGCGCGACGGCCCCGCCCCTGATCCTGATCTTGTCGAGCCCTCGAGACAACTTTTGTTATTCCCTGCCGATAACCGGCGTCAGCGGGCGAGGGAGGGACGACCCGCCAGTCGGCACCAGCGATCTGCACTCACTCGTGCGCTGTGCGCATGACTGTGCTTCGGGAGGATTAGCCTCCGGGTGTCAGTCCGACCGAACAGGGTTGCGCACATTTGGGCCTCGAGTTGCGCACGCTGAGACCTCCCAGGTGGGGTCAGAGTAGATGCGGTCTGTGGATCGCTCCGCATCGCCGATGCATCCGCGATGCGGCCCGATGTGGAGCTGGAGTTTCTCCGCGTCGACGTCGCCGATGCATCGGCGATGCGGCGCGACCCTCCGACCCCATCCACTCGGACACCAATCGGGAGGCCTCTGGAAAGGTGCGGGGGGGGCCAGTAACGTCACGATTTGCGCCGGCGCCGTCTGAGAGTGCCGATGAATCTCCACATTCCACATGGCGCCAGCGCGCATCGTGACGTGGCCAGGAGGGGGGAAGGGGAAGAAGCGGGGGGGCGGGGCCGGCAGCGGGTGTCCTCGCGAGGGGCTTTGCCTTCTCTGAGCAATGGGGACCCATGCCAAGAAGCACCCTGCTTGCCTCCAGGGTGCCTTGGGTTTCTTGGGTCTCGATGGTTCTATCCTGGAAAGCGTGACGCTCCCACACCAAGATCCGATGGACGCCCTGGGCCTGGGGTCTCCAGGTTGGGCTTCTTGTGGCAGGTTTCTTGTGGACTGGCCCCCACTGTACACCTTAGGCGATGTTTAAGAAAACTTAAATTTTCGGCCAGGGTCTCGATGATTCTTAATGTTTCAATGTAAATCCTAAGATTCGAATGGGAATTTTGGGTTCTTATTCAAGTTCTGAGACTATGAATTTCTTAACCCATGATTTCTTAAGCATTTCGCAGGGTGTATCTCTCCGCGCTCCGCTCTGGGGCTCCGCCGCGCGCCAGGCCATGACGGTGGGGGGCCTCGGCATCGACGCGGAGCCGCGCAGGGCGATGCTCCGCAAGCGGATGGCGGCGAGGCGCTCTCCCGCCGCGTGTGCGCTTGCGCGTCTGCCACGGGCGACTGTCGGCCACACGCAGCTCCTCCTCCTCCTCCTCCTCCTCCTCTCCCTCCTCCTCCTCCTCCTCCTCCTCCTCCTCCTCCTCCTCCTGCTCCTGCTCCTCCTCCTCCTCCTCCTCCTCCTCCTCCTCCTCCTCCTCCTCCTCCTCCTCCTGGGGCGCAGGGGTTCAGCCGGGCATGTCCCTCTACAGGAGGGAGATTCAACACACAGCTTCTGGCTGCTTAAAACAACTGTTTATAAGCACAGATATACATACGTGCATACATACATGCATACATACATACCTACATACAAGTATATGTACATATATATATACATATACATATATGCCCCTATATATATATACCCATAAACATTCAAACAAACAAACAACCAGACAAATAAACATACGTGTATATATAGATACGTGTATATGTTTATGTATACATATATATATATATATCAAACATGGGGACGATGTGTTGAGTATGTTGTATTCGCATTGAGCATGTATTGGCAATGTGTTAGCTTTCCGTCGAAAATCCGCCTGTAGGGGGGCATGCCCGACCCAAGGGCAGGGGGAGGGGGGAAGGCTTCCCAAAGCACCCCTGCGTCTCAGAAGGCGCGGGCCTTGTCTGTAGATGTACGGCCGGCGCCTTTTCAGAGGCGGCCTTCTCTAAGGAGCCTTCCCCCCTCCCCCATGCCCCCGGGCTTGCGCGCCTCGCCAGGAGTGTTGCTGCAGCTCGGGGGACGGCGCTTCAGGGTGCCCCCCCCGGGGGATTGTGCGCAGCATTGGCGCTGGTACATCTGTGGTCGGCCACCAGCCGTCGGTCTGTTCCGGAGGGACATTCTTCTCCAAGGCATTCCCCAAAATTCCTTGGAGGATGCAACTCCAAGTTCTTCAATGTCCTCGCGGTCGATACATTAAAGGGTAAACCCCCTTTAAAAAGAGCCCTGGGCCGGAGCCCTTTCCTGGAAGAAACGGCGCTGGCACTTGCAAAAGAAGCGGCAACACGAAAGCGGGAAAGGTTGCCCTTTCATTTCGAGGGCCCACGAAGCTCTGGAGCGACGTGTCCATCCTGCTCAGTGGCCCCTGCATCGTGTTTAGGAGCCCTCTGCTGCTCTTGCGAGGACCTCCCAGACGTTGCCTCCTGAGGCGCTCGCTCCCACCGTCGGGCGGGGCCGGGACGAGGACGAATCCGTTCTGGACCGCTCTGAGAAGGCCGCGGCGCCCGACACATTCTCCAGAACCGCCAGATCTCAGAGATTCCCTATTTATCTTCGCACTACACCTTAGGCGATGCTTAAGAAAACCTAAGTTTTCGGCCAGAGTCTCGATTATTCTTAACGTTTCAATGTGAATCCTAAGATTTGAATAGACATTCTGGGTTTTTAGTCAAGTTCTGAGACTCTGAGTTTCTTAACCCATGATTTCTTAAGCATGTCGCCAGGTGTATTTATCTTCGCACTATGTTATCCTCGTCCCGGTTTCGTCGTATGGTTCCTACGAAGACCTCCCAGAAGTTGCCTCCTGAGGCGCTGGCTCCCACCGTACACCTTAGGCGATGCTTAAGAAAACCTAAGTTTTCGTCCAGAGTCTCGACTATTCTTAATGTTTCAATGTAAATCATAAGATTTTACTAGAAATTCTGGGTTTTTATTCAAATTCTGAGACTCTGAATTTCTTAACCCATGATTTCTTAAGCATTTCGCAGGGTGTATGTTATCCTCGTCCCGGTTTCGTCGTATGGTTCTTACGAAGACCTCCCAGGAGTTGCCTCCTGAGGCGCTGGCTCCCACCCTACCGGCTCTCGTTGATCGGCCGATGAGCTCGGCCAAGGGCAGAGTAGGGTAGGGGGAGGGAGGAAGGCTTCTTAAGAGCACCCCTGCTTCTCAGAAGACGCGTGCCCTGTCTGTAGATGCAGGGCTGGCGCCGTCTCAGGAGCGGCCTGTTTCTACGAAGCCTTCCCCCCTCCCCCTACAGTGGGGGCCCGTGCCAAGAAGCACCCTGCTTGCCTCCAGGGTGCCCTGGCTTTCTTGGGCTCCGATGGTTTTGCGACGGAGAGCGTGGCGCTCCCGCACCAAAAACCGATGGCCGCCCTGGGGTCTCAGGGCCGGGTTTCTTGTGGCAGGTCTCCTGTGGACCGGCCCCCACTGTATCTCTCCGCGCTCCGCTCCCAGACCCCCGACGTCATGATTTGTTCATGAGCCTGTTTTGTTAGACTCTGGCAAGTTTACTTGCATGGACGGGGGGGGGGCTGAGCCTGAAGCAAGCCGCAAACGACTTGCACGTTCGGGGGGGCGCGGAAATCACGCAAGTCGAAAGGCACTTGCACGCTAGTATTCGCTTGAAGAGGGGCGAGGGGGTGGGGGGAGGGGGGGGCGAACGCCATGCAAGTAAACTTGCCTGAGTCCAAAAAAAAAACACAGGCTCCATGACGTCGACCCCCAGCGGTCTGGACCCATTCCCCGGGACCGGTGTTTCGGCCTGGGGCGTTTTGACGGCCCCCAGGGCCAGGAAGGGCCCCCAGAGTCCAAGAGTAGTGAAAAAAAACCTCCCGTCGGGAGTTTTTGTTGGACTCGGAGGGGGTCCGGGCTCTGGGCCTCTTGCGGAAGGTGTCCTGTGGGCTGCGCCTCCGCTGTGACGACGAGCTGCCTGCTGCCGGGGAGGGGGCCTGGCCCCCCGGGGCGGACACTGCCCGGGCGCCTCCCGCGGCCCGCAGTCCCCGCGCGCGCCCTCCGCAGGAGCCACCTTGCGGGGCCCTGCAGCAAAGCAAGCAACACCCGAAGCGGGGGCGCCGGAGGCCCGGAACCGGGCCGGCTCGGGGCCTCCGACGATGTCTGAACGTGCGTCTACGAAGGCAAACATCACATGCGCAGAATGCCTCTTTTTGTTGTTCTTCCCAGCGCCCCCTTTCCCGCGCCTCCGCGCAGGCCTCTATAGAGAGTATGACCTGACCCCTGGGCGTTTCCAAGAGCCGGCGGCGAGCGAAAGGGGGGGAAGCGTTCGGCTTCGGGCTTCCGGGGCTCAGATTTACCTTCGATTTCCAGTGGGGGGGGGGGTGTCGGGGAACATCGAGCAAACACACACATGTGGAACCCTTGCCCCCCCCAACCCGAAATTCGGGCCTTCGGGTTGGGTTGGGGTGGTCTGGTCGGTAGTCAGGGAAGCGTTCGGCTTCGGGCTTCCGGGGTGATCTCTCAGGAGGGGAAAAAAACACAGACACAATTATAACCGTCGATCCCCCGGAAAATATGGGAAAGTACGGGAAGTGGGCGGGGAGACAGACACCCAGAACATATGGGAAAGTAGGGAGAATATGTTTGTGTGTGTGTTTATTTATTTGTGTCCTTGGGCCCCTTCAGTGACCCTTGGGCCCCTTCAGTGACCCCTTCATGAGTTTTTCATTACGTCGACCCCCAGAGGTCCCGACCCTTTCCCCATGACCGGTTTTTCATCCCGAGTCGTTTTTTGACGGTCCCGAGGCCCGGTGGGGGCCCCCAGAGGCCGAAAATTATGAAAAACCTCCCGTCGTGATTTTTTCACGACTCGAGGGGGTCTGGGGTGGACCTCGGGCGCTCTCGCCGGCCCTCGGCGGTGTTTCCGGCCCCTGGGAGGCTCGCCGCCCGCCGCGCCTCGCCGCGGGGCGCTCGGGCCGCGGGTGCCCCGGGTCGTCCCGGGCGGCCGCCGGAGGCCCGACTCTCGTGGCCCAGAAGCCGGGGTTCGGCGGCGAGCGAGCGAGGGGGGGGGAGGAGGAGGAGGAGGAGGAGGAGGAGGAGGAGGAGGAGGAGGAGGCGAGGAGGAGGAGGAGGAGGAGGAGGAGTGAGGAGGGAGGAGGAGGAGGAGGAGGAGGAGGAGGAGGAGGAGGAGGAGGAGGAGGAGGAGGAGGAGGAGGAGGGGGAGTGAGGAGGAGGAGGGAGGAGGAGAGGAGGAGGAGGAGGAGGAGGAGGAGGAGGAGGAGGAGGAGGAGGAGGAGGAGGAGGAGGAGGAGGAGGAGGAGGAGGAGGAGGAGGAGGAGGAGGAGGAGGAGGGAGGAGGAGGGAGGAGGAGGAGGAGGAGGAGGAGGAGGAGGAGGAGGAGGGGGGGTGAGGGGGAGGAGGAGGAGGAGAGGAGGAGGAGGAGGAGGAGGAGGAGGAGGAGGAGGAGGAGGAGGAGGAGGGGATGAGGAGGAGGAGGAGGAGGGGGAGGAGGGGAGGAGAGGAGGAGGAGGAGGAGGGGAGGAGGAGGAGGAGGAGGAGGAGGAGGAGGAGGAGGAGGGGGAGTGAGGAGGAGGAGGAGGAGGAGGAGGAGAGGAGGAGGAGGAGGAGGAGGAGGAGGAGGGAGGAGGAGTGAGGAGGAGGAGGGGAGGAGGGGGATGAGGAGGAGGAGGAGGAGGAGGGGGAGTGAGGAGGGAGGAGGAGGAGGAGGGGGGGGAGGAGGAGGGGGGGGAGTGAGGACGGGAAGGCCTCCTCAGAAGGCGCCTTCGGAAGGGTTTTCCGCGTCTTCGGGGCAGGCGCAGGAGCTTTCTCGAGAGGCTGGGGGACTTCCGAGCCTCCTCTGAGAGGGCCCGCGCCTTCTCCTTTCCCCCCATCGCTCGCCGCCAGAACTGGAGGTTGACGCCAACACCGGTATCAGCAGCTCGCTCGATCGAGCGAGGATGGTCCTGTTCTCGATGACGGCGGCAGCGCTCGGGCCTCCTGGGTGGCCGAGGGATTGCCACCAGCACCAAAAGCCAGGGCCAAACTCACCCGGTGGATGTAGGTAAGCCATTGTTGAGGATATTTCTATGAAAACTAAACGCCAAGGATGTCTCAAAACGTGCTCGGCTTGGTCTCCTCTTGATCATCTCTTACTTCGAGATTATGCTGAGGTCTGCTGGGCTACTTTTATTATCTCTCCCTGAACCCCGAACTTTATTATCCCCTAGTGTTTATTCTCACGGGCATGAGGTTAGCTTCTTTTGTTGGTGTTGGTGCTGGTGCAGATCTCCAGGCCCCCC